GGGAGTGCATCCTCTCCCTCACCATCCTTCACTCCCTCCTTCCTTCCTTCCTTCATTTCCTCCATCTTCCATCCTCCCTCAGTTATTCACCCTTCTTTCATTCATCCTTCTCACCCTCCCTCTCGGGTGATCACCAAGGTGGGATGTTGGCTCAGTGCCATTGGAGGAGGGAGGAGGGAGGGAGGGATGGAGGGAGGGAGAGAGGGAGGGAGAAGAGGGAGGAGGGAGGAGAAGAGGGAGGGAGAAGAAGGGATTGAATAAAATATACACGAAACAGAGAAAAAACACAAATAATAAATAAAGAAATGAAAGGAAATAAAGAAATAAAAGGTTACACGAATGAATAAATGAATGAAATACTAAATAAAGAAAAAAATCATTAAAAATCAGACACACAAGAAAGATGAAGACAACAGACTGACCTAACACGACTTTACCGTCACCACACATCATAACTTCAGACGCTCCACCTAAACCATCCATCCGGGGTACACACAACAACATTACCCCCCCCTAAACCAGGCTGATGTTTAACCGAGTCACCACGAACATTTCACCCTTCTCCTCCCCCCCCCTCTACACACATGGAAGGATAAACAAGTAACGAAATGACTTGTATAGCGTTAATGATAAAGTCAAATATTGGGTGATAAGCGGCAACTATTGATTTTAACGAGAGGGGCCAAGAGGAGGGGTGGGTGGGGGGTGTTAAAAGTGAGGCAGGGTCGATGGTGGTGCACACACGCATATACACACACACGCATATACACTCATACACCACCCACACACACACACTTCATCCGAAACATTTAATTATTTTTCTTTATTATTACGAAACTTTAAATTCAACCTAATATAATAAAAAACTAATAATAATAGGGGTAATATAAAAAAAACGTACATACATAGATACATACACGCACACGTAAGCAAACACACACTAATATGTACACATGAACGTATGCGAGCGGTAGACATCCAAATGATTTATCGTAAACATCAAAGAAAAACAACTAATGATTTAAAAAAAAAAATTACAGTATCGGTAAAAAAACTCACAGCTGTAGGTGGTTTTTTTTTCTGTATTTAAAAACACTATTAATTGTCGTGTTTTTTTTTTACAGCAATTAACGTTAAGTAAATAATTTTGTTCGTTTTAATACACAAGTTACTGACATCAGGTTAATGCCATGAATACTCTAACAGGTACAGATACAGAATTGACACTAATTCACCTGTTCCACGATTAACTACCAATTTCCCTTTTAAATGACTAAATCAAATAATATCCAACTAATTCATAACTAATTCACTAACGCAACGACAGCAGCAGAAGTAAATAAAGATGGTAATTAAAATCCCTGTAAGAACTCTATGACGACGGTAAGGTATTTCAACGTAGCTAACGAGACCTGAGACGACTTTACAGTAGGATAGATTGTAACTTTCCATAGACCGAGTTATTGGTTGTAGGTCAAATGGGCTCCAGTTTTAATGGACCTGACCTGACCTGACCTGACCTGACCTGACCTGACCTGACCTAACCTAACCTAACCCTCAAGATTGGGGTCCATTACGACTGGGGTCTAAGAGAACTAGATTAGGGTTAGATTAGGTTGGATTGGATAGGGGCCTATTAGAACTATGATATATTTGATAGGGGCTTATCAGGACGGGTGGCTATTAGGACTAGAGCCTATCCGGACGAGGGCCCATAAGACGTGTGACCGTAACACAAGCGGACACTGTTTACAATCTCTCATCCTTTACCTAGCATAGTTTGGTATTGGTCCTGGAGGCACGTAGATCACACACACAGCAAACACATAACTCTGACCTGATGACACACACCATGGCTTACAGGCTTCCTCAGTGACAGACGCCAAGCTGTACGTTTCAGAGGGGCTGTCTCCACTTTTCAGTCACTCACCTGTGGCGTCCCCCAAGGCACCAAGACGGAACCGCTCTGCTTCCTTGTGCTTATCATGATGCCCTAAGAGAAACCCCCGCTCGCTGGAAATATGTCGACCATTGGGATCAGTGTCAACAAATCGGCTCCCAACTATACCGCCCTTCAGAATTTATTGAACAGTCTCCAATATTGGGTCACATACAACCACGTCACCATTAACCATACCAAGACCATGGTTATGCACATCAACCTCTCCTCTGACCTTGTCCCGCCTCCCTCCATTACTTTGGGCCCCCAAACACTCCAGGTTGTGGACTCCACTAAGCTCCTCGGCGTCACCATAGACAACAAACTAAATTGGAAAACACACGACAGTACTGTTGTCAAATCCTCCAGTTTCCGTCTCCACCTCCTCCGCCGACTCAAGTCCCTCGGAGTTCCTACCCCCGAACTCCTCAGTGTTTCATCATCATTCATACTTCCCAAGCTCACCTATGCCTCCCCCACCTGGTCTTCATCCACTAAATGCCACACAACGTAAACACCTAGAAAAAGTGCAAAAGAGGGCATGCAAGATTATTCTCTCCCCTTCCTACTCCACATATCAAGAAGCGCTCTACACACTGACCCTCTCGGCTCTCTCTGACCATCACCAAGACCTCATCTGCAAATTTGGTGAGAAGCTTCTGCACCATCCTCGACACCGGCTCCTACTACCACCCGAAATCCCTCGTCCGAGAATTGCTATTCGACACCACAACCGCATCCAGCCCATACGTGCACGAACTGATCGCTATAAGAACAGCCCAGTCCCAACCATTGTAAAAATTATCAAAAACTTGTAATCAACCAGTGTATTCACTTCAAGTCAATTTTACCTTTTTACACTGTCACTGTTGAAATGCCCTGTAGTATGACCTTCTCCCCACCTAGTCATTATATATCATATTTGTATCACTTATGTTACTTGTATATTATTTGTCAATCAAGAGAACCATTCACCAATTATGTAACTGTATATTTTCAGCCCTCCGACTGCCATGTTCTTTCAATAAACCGTTAATTATTATTATTATTATTATTATTATTATTACCCTGGAGGACACATACACCCTAGAATTTGGACACATACACTCTGGGATTTGAATACATATACTGTGAATACATACGCCCTGAAGGACACATACACCCTGAAGGACACATACACGCAGGAGGGCACAGACAAACAGGACACATACATCCAGAATGACACATACACCCCCCTCCTCCCCGCTCTACCTACAGGCCGCTCCTCAATTAGATTAGCCAGCACACGTCAGATGTAAACCTTTGATAGCAATCGCGTCGTGTTGAAGTCAGAGGGGCAATACCATTCCGCCCAGGCCATATACGTGTGCGAAGACCTGTCATAGGCAGATAGGGCTCTCCAATATCCCAACACACACATAAACACACCAACCCCTCTCACTAACCAACACCCACCAGCCCTCCCTCTCTCCCTCACGACCTTCCCCCTCACTTCCCTCATCTGTCGTCCCCTTGCAGCACGGAGCAGGGAAAGAGGAGGAGGAGGAGGAGGGAGGAAGAAGCAAGGGAAGGAGGGCGCTCTGCTTCTTGATAAAGCCAATTACACGCTCTATCGCAGTCAATATCCGCCGCGTGTTCTCTTACCTTCATTATCAACACAACGGAGACGCCCAGACAAACAAACACACACACACACACACACACACACCCCATGCTGGTAAATCAACTCCCAAAAGTTTCCTCCTAAAGAAGTCAATATTTACGCTCACTGACGAAGCCACTAAGTCCATCCACTAATACCAATATCCGCGTAGCGTCTCTTACATCATTTTTCAATAACTAGTAACATTAAGAAGTTTTGTTTTTACATCCCAGGAAACATCGTAAGCTCACCAAATATCGTATCACAACAAAAGATCCCTGATTATGACTTGTGTTACAGTTGTTTTACATCCTGGAGAAATATGCAACACCTTTCCACACAACACAGACTGGAAATAATCAGTAAGCAAAAGGCTATCATCTTAACAGTCAACAGTTAAGACAAAGTACATTATATCAGCAGTTAACAGTTATATACAAGCCATTGTATATCGTGTACAATGATTGTTTCTCACTGCCATCTCTCCCTTCACCACTTAACATGTCTTACACACCCTCACGCCAGCCTTTCATTACCTACCTGATAAGGATATTTTCGAAAGATGGAGTTTTATTGTATGTGACTAAAGTTAACGAATGGACACTATTTACTTCTCCCAGGGTGTGACAGACCCGTGGTAGAGGTCTTGACCGATGCCTGATAACCTTTACAAAAACCCTAGACAAGGTAATGAGGACAGGTAATGAACAGGTAATGAGCTTCCTTCCTCCTCCTGGGTCACGGATAGATGGGGTGGTCGATAAACTAAACTAACTGTATTATGGTGGTAAGCTGAGTTAACCGAATCCAGCTTTACGAAACCCTCAGTTCTAATAAAGGTTCCAACCCAACCCAACTCAACCACTAAGATGGGGACCCAATTCTAATGTATTTCAGTCCCCAGGGGCCACAAGCACTTACTGGATATTCTAGTTAAGGTAAGGATGTATTTTGCCTGAGGTCTGTTTGGTCCCCCGCCACTACGGTTAGTCCCAACAACATAATACTCCGTCATCAATTCTATTTATGGTTCTCTTCATCACCGAATTCCTGTGACAATGTTATATACATTTAATAATATTAATACATTTCGCTGACAAAACCAGTTGGATTCTATTTCATAAATAGACTTGCCTGGCATTTCCATTTGAATTTCATCATATTAATGCCTTACGTTCACACGCGGTTAAATTAATTTTCAACTTATTCAAAAATAAATAATATATAAAGGAGACTAAACGGTATTTATAAAGATGTTTGTGTTCCACTTATACATATTTACGGTTTAGTTTATTACGTTATAAAAAAATAAAATACAAAGACGCAGTGCATGTACATTTCCGGATATAATAGTTTATCATTACTCAGCACCATTTTCTTTGACAACACTGTAGTAGAAAACGGACAGAAAATAACATCACATTCAGGAGAGACTTAAACACTTACCATAGAGTTGGAGAGCGATGGCGCGGACTGTCCCAGAAGGGAATTTCGCATTCGTAGAAGATTAGAGCTTTCACTGCCGCCTGAAATAGAAGAAATATACATGTAAGTTTAAAATCTTACTCCAACACATCTTTTGTTAAGACCGTAAGTGCCACACCCTAAAAGTCCGTGTCACACCCTTACAAGATCGTGTCACATCCTTTTATCAATAGTCAAAATGTTGGTGCCACAAAAATTAGTAATGAAATAACATTCATTACCATAATAAATAACATGTTATACAATATACCTACTTACAAAATTAAAATTAATATCAATACAACCTTAGACTTACAGTACCCAGGTGGTATTATTGAAAATTATATATATATATATATATATATATATATATATATATATATATATATATATATATATATATATATATATATATATATATATATATATATATATATATATATATATATATATATATATATATGTGTGTGTGTGTGTGATAACCTGCAGATTAGGCATCATAGCGCTAATTTAACCTAACCTGATTAACGCTATCTGGGAGGGGGAGGTTAGGTTAGGTTAACGTTAGGGCGGTTAAGTCTGGGTGTGTACAGTATAATCAACATGAAATGCATTTTAAAAATTTCAGGTGGGGGAGAGTTGAACAGAGCACTACCTTACCTCCCCGGGGCCACACTCACAGGTAGGAGGGGCCACAGCACTACCTTACCTCCCCGGGGCCACACTCACAGGTAGGAGGGGCCACAGCACCACCTTTCCTCCCCCTGGGGCCACACCCCACAGGTAGGAGGGCCACAGCACCACCTACCACCTGGGGCCACACACAGGAGGGGCCACAGCACCACCTTACCACCTGGGCCACAGGCAGGAGGTGGGGCCACAGCACCACACCCCCCGGGGCCACACTCCCACAGGTAGGAGGGGCCACAGCACCACCTCACCTCCCCGGGCCACACTCACGTCATACCTATCATCAGCTTCAGGAGTCAACAGTCTCCTTAAAGGCTGAATAACAAGAGAGAGAGAGCGAGAGAGAGAGAGAGAGAGAGAGAGAGAGAGAGAGAGAGAGAGAGAGAGAGAGAGTAGGAGGCGACAATATGCTCAGGAGGGAAGGCCGGGGGGGGGTGAGGTGGTGTGCTGGGTGAAGATGATACCAGAGTGAGCCTTCCTGTTCCTTCCAGTCTGATCCACTCAATACAGTCTGATCCACTCAATACGGTCTGATCCCCAATACAGTCTGATCCACTCAATACAGACAGTCTGATCCACTCAATACAGTCCGATCCACTCAATACAGTCTGATCCACTAATACAGTCTGATCCACTACTCCAGTCTGATCCACACAGTCTGATCCACCAATACAGTCTGATCCTCAATACCTGATCCACTCAATACAGTCTGATCCCTCAATGCAGTCTGATCCACTCAATACAGTCTGATCCCTCCACAGTCTGATTCACTCATACAGTCTGATCCACTCACAGTCTGATCCACTCAATACAGTCTGATCCACTCAATACAGTCTGATCCACTCACCACTCAATACAGTCTGATTCACTCAATACAGTCTGATCCACTCAATACAGTCTGATCCACTCAATACAGTCTGGATCCACCTCAATACAGTCTGATCCACTCAATACAGTCTGATCCACTCAATACGGTCTGACCACTCAATACGGTCTGATCCACTCGACAGTCTGATCCACTCAATACAGTCTGATCCACTCAATACAGTCTGATCCACTCAATACTCGATCCACCATACAGTCTGATCCACTCAATACAGTCTGATCCACTCAATCAGATCCACTCAATACAGTCTGATCCACTCAATACAGTCTGATCCACTCAATACAGTCTGATCCATCAATCACACTCAATACAGTCTGATCCACTCAATACAGTCTGATCCACTCAATACAGTCTGATCCTCAATCCACTCAATACAGTCTGATCCACTCAATACAGTCTGATCCACTAATACAGTCTGATCCACTCAATACAGTCTGATCCACTCAATACAGTCTGATCCACCAGATCCACTCAATACAGTCTGATCCACTCAATACAGTCTGATCCACTCAATACAGTCCGATCCACTCAATACAGTCTGATCCACTCAATACAGTCTGATCCACTCAATACAGTCCGATCCACTCAATACAGTCTGATCCACTCAATACAGTCTGATCCACTCAATACAGTGTGATCCACTCAATACAGTCTGATCCACTCAATACGGTCTGATCCACTCGACAGTCCGATTCACTCACCTCGGTTTTATTCACTCAGAGTAACAGACAGACTGATTCACTTAATACAGTCAAATCCACTCATGCAATACAGTCTCATCACCACCACTCACCATCACCACTCATCACCAACACTCATCACCACCACTCACCACCACCACTCATCACCACCACTAAGCCCCCACCACCAACACTCATCACCACCACTCAGTCCTCACCACCCATCACCATCACCACTCACTATCACTCACCACCACAACACGCCTCACATATCCTCATAACCCGGAAATATCAGTGTTCCTCCTGCAGAAGTTAACAATTAACTCGGACAGTTCTTCTCTCCAGTTAGTTCATTACCTGTTATCAAATCATCAGTCTTTTTCAGTTAACAGTTACCCCAAGTACCTCTGGGTTAACTGTAAGAGGGATACACCTGTAATATACCTGTAATATACCTGTAGAGTTCATCATCTTACAATATATATTAAATTAAACAGACATTAAAGATTTATCTCGACAGCTGGTTATAAAATATTTAAGTAATTGTATTTATAAGTTTATCATAAAGTTTGGTAACATAAATGATACTTGTTATAGAATGATAATAAAATTAGACATAAGAATTAAAATATTAGACATATTAATAATAATAACTAATTCAACATTCCTAAATTTAGACATACAGAAACATAATATATTAATATATTAACTGATAAACATATTACATGTGTGTGTGTGTGTGTGTGTGTGTGTGTGTGTGTTACCTGGTATATCAAGGCGGGCCGTGTCGGAGAAGCGTCGTCGGTGTAGGCGGCACAGGCGGCGGTAGTGCCACACGTCGTCCTGACCACTGAGGGTGTCGTCGAGGCTACAGCGACGGGGGCTGTAGTAGGAGGAGGGCGTGGTGGTGTAGGGCGGGTAGTGGCTCATGGTCGGGGGTGGCGCCAGGCAGGATGGGGCAGACAACCGCTTCTCTCCCGCAGGTGAGCGAGCCAACAGGTGAGGTAAGGAGTACCTGGTACTGCCAGATATGTGGTGGGTGTATCCCTGAGGGGCCAGCCACAGCCTCGGGGTCTGGCCACTACCACTCATGGCCACCATCCCGGGGGTGACACGCACCTCTGGAGCGGAGTGTCGCTTATCAGTGGCAGCGGCACGGGTCAACCCCCACTGGGCGGCCACCTCCTCTCCTCCAGAGGAGCAGCACTCATCCTCTGATCCATCGCACCGGATGCGGATGATGGGAGGTCGCTCAGCCATGACCTCCCGCGGCACTGTGCTGGCACTCACAGCCAGGGAGCCTGATAAGGGCCCCGGCAGGTGTAGGGCGGTGTGAAGGAAACGCAGGCGGGGGGCGGCATGATCCTTACCCACTAGTGTCTCACCGCCTCAAATTAGTGCCCCACACACTAGTGCCCCCCACACACACTAGTACCCCCCACACACACTAGTACCCCACACACTAGTGCTTCACCACCTTCACTATCTACCACTGAACTCTGCCGGTCGTTTTCCCAACACTCAGACGTGACTTATGTTGTTTCAGTCTCAGATCTTTTATAGCTCAGTATATAATAACCTGTAAAACAAAATATAAAACTTTCAAAACAAAATATTTATACAAAATTTTTCTCTATTCCAAACATTACGAAATTATGAACGTGTGTGTGTGTGTGTGTGTGTGTGTGTATGTGTGTGTGTGTGTGTGTGTGTGTGTGTGTGTGTGGTATTCATGGTCGTCCACTAGATCATGACAGATATACAGTCGCTACGATAACATGTCATACCATAAACACTCGTCATTAATAAATAAGTTTAAAAATGGTGAAATTATACAGTTTCCTTTTTCCTTTTTCTTATTTTTACCTTAAATAACAACCTATAACACTTATACAACAACCATCACCACCCCCGGTACCAACTACACAACCATCTCCCCACCACCCCCATTCCCCCTAAACAACCCCTTCCAACCCCCAACAACCACCACCAACAACCCCCTCCCTTTCTTATAACCACCTCCCACAACCACCACCAACAACCCCTCCTAAAACTGGGCACAAACTCTGACACTCTTCCATTACCTGACCATGACCTCTGACCTTTCATAACCCTGGCCAAACTAATTGCAAAATATCGACCTTTTCATTGGTCGTTCCACTCCCCCGGGGCGCTTGTCTCTTTCTATTTAAGGGTCAAGATATATACCTATAACAGACATGTATTCGTACTATGAACACAACCTGGATATAAATTTATGTATAAAATATTGTGTTTTTTTTTAGTATGATAAATTCTGGATTTCACCCTTATATAAATCAACAATTACCTCCCCCCCCCCCAACGCCATTAACTTTATCCACTATCATCCTTAACCCCACTACTCCACAATACACGTTTTACTCCACCTTTATTCTCCACGTAAATAAATGATCCGATACATGATAGTGTCAGACAAGAGGTTCATCCAGCAGACACTCCAGGGTACCTCTTGGGAAGCTTAATGTCTTACCACAGATTTTCACCCCACGTCCACGATGACCCAGCCGAGGGAGGGAGGAAGGGAGGGAGGGATCTCTTAGCCCCGCCCCCTTCCCCGCCCCCTCCCTGAGTCAGCAACCAATCAAATCAATCTCAATAGACACACCTCCAGATTTAGTGGCCGTAATAAAATGAGAGTTGAAATATCGATGAATTCTGATCTTCCGCCTTTGAGAACGAGAATATTTTTCCGTAGAAGTTTTATTCCTGAACGCACTGGCTTTCTGTCGCTGTCTGTGTCCGTTTACAGAATAGAAACGACTAGGAAGAGGACGCGCTTCTTTTATTTACATAGGTATCTAAGGGGGTGGAGCTAAGCCAGATTGGGCGGAGCTATGCTGGAGTGGGATGGACTATGCTGGAGTTAGGGAGCTATGCTGAAGTGGGGAAAGCTATGCTGAGTTATGTTGAGTGGGAGGAGCTATGCCTGAGTGGAAGGAACTATGCAGGAGAGAGAGAGAGAGCGAGAGAGAGAGAGGCAATGCCAGAAAGGGAGGAGCTATGCCGGAGTGGGCGGAGCTATGCCAGAGTGGGAAGAGCTATGCCAGAGTGGGCGGAGCTATGCCAGAGTGGGAGGAGCTATGCCGGAGTGGGAGGAGCTATGCCGGAGTGGGAGGAGCTATGCCGGAGTGGGAGGAGCTATGCCGGAGTGGGAGGAGCTATGCCGGAGTGGGAGGAGCTATGCCGGAGTGGGAGGAGCTATGTCGGAGTGGGAGGAGCGAAATGATCCCTTCCATTACGAGGGCCTCAGTTAAGCCTGGACGACGGCACAAACCATGTCTTAGAGAAGGAACGGATAACACACTCACCTTGACTCTCCAACAACAAACTTAGTGTCAAGTGGAGGAGCTCTAGCGTCACCCACTTGTGATATACACGATGTTATGATCTGACCATACACACACGGGGTGCCATGACGTAGTGAGGCACCTGGCACAGTAACACGGTGGAGGTGGCACTGACTTAGGCACCCTCGGACCCGCCACCGTCACTCATCAAAACATAATAACTGGGGGTGATGAACTTTCCAATTTGAGATGAGGCGCCGGAACCTGCAAGGGGTTCAGGGGGCGTCTGCCATGTGGGAATACTGCTAGGGACGTCTGCCACTGTGGAGTACTGCAGGGCCCTGCCATTGGGACTACCATGGGGCATCTGTCACTGTGCAGACAGGCAGGGGCGTCTGCCACTGTGCGAGGGCAGGCAGGGGCGTCTGCCACTGTGGAATACTGCCAGGGGACGTCTGCCACTGTGGGAGTACTGCCAGGGGCGTCTGCCACTGGGACTACCATGGGCATCTGCCATGGGAGTACTGCCAGGGGGCGTCTGCCACTGCGAGGGCAGGCAGGGGCGTCTGCCATGTGGGAGACTGCCAGGGGCGTCTGCCACTGTCAGAGGACTGCCAGGGGGCGTCTGCCACTGTGCGAGGACTGCCAGGGGGCGTCTGCCACTGTGAGAGGACTGCCAGGAGGCGTCTTCACTGTGGGAGGACTGCCAGGGGCGCCTGCCACTGTGGGAGGACTGCCAGGGGCGTCTGCCACTGTGGAGGACTGCCAGGAGCGTCTGCCACTGTGGAGACTGCCAGGGAGGCCCTGCTGGCGAGCACGCTGTGGGAATGTTGGCTCAGGAGACATAAGAGCGAGGAAAACAGATCTGACAGCAGAGAGATATTAGGGGGAGGACAGATGAGGTGGGAGGACAGGTGGAGGCGGGGAGGACAGGTGAGGCGGGGAGGACAGGTGAGGGGCGGGAGGACAGGTGAGGCGGGGAGGACAGGTGAGGCGGGGAGGACAGGTGAGGCGGGAGGAGTGAGGTGGGGGAGGACAGGTGAGGGGGGGAGGAGAGGTGAGGAGGAGAGCAGGTGAGGCGGGAGGACAGGTGAGGCGGGGGAGGAGAGGGAGGCGGGAGGACAGGTGAGGCGGGGAGGACAGGTGAGAAGTGGCACTTGACATACTGTGATGACAAATATATACAACAGAGGTCAGAGGTCATGAGGGCAAAAAAAAAAAGAGAGAGTTAAGAAAATAGTTAACAGCCTAATGGTAAGTCAATTATGGTGGTATGGTGGTGATGGTGGGGGGTGTGGTCGGTGGATGTGAGGTGTGTGGATGACGTGGATGTGAGGGGTGTGGATGGATGATGTCCGTCAACGCATACGTCACCCTAACAAACTGAGTCATACAACGGAACACAAGAGAAGATAAAAAAAATAGCAACATTCTTTCATATTGTAAATGTTAAAATATTTCAAGATATTCATAGAAAAAATGTTAAAATAAATTAGAGCCAGGATGCCACTGTGTGATTCTTGTCAGGCAATATCAGAGCCAGACAGTTGTGGGGAGGAGGAGGTGGTGGTGATATTTGCAGGATTTCTGAGTTAACGTACGTGTGTGTGTGTGTGTGTGTGTGTGTGTGTGTGTGTGTGTGTGTTAAGTGAGTGGATTTCAAGAGCCACATGAGTGATTCTCTATAAATGTTTTCTCTCAACAAATCTCTTCACCTGAGTCTTAAAAAGTTCCTCACAAGAAAAAGAAAGATCAGGTGTATAGATCAGAGGTCACGATGCCACCTAGGTCATTGGTTAGAGGTCAGGTCAGAGGTCACGACTTAACCTAGGCTTCAGTGAGGTCAGGTTATATGTTCCTACCAGTTTATACAGGATAGACAAGGTCACTGTTAATATGAGAGAGAGAGAGGGTATGTGTGTGTGTCAATGGTGGCTTCTCTACTGCCCCACCTACCACCACCCACAACCACCACCACAACCACCACCCACACCCCACCCAAAATCTTATGCCATTCTGAGCTTAGTATGACACCCATAGTTATATTTGGACGCATTTGTCTGTCTGTCAGTCAAAAAAATAGTAATCCAAGAAATCAAAACCACCACCAAAATGGCCACTAAAAACACACTTAAGACTCACTTCAACAGTACACCTTAAGACTATGTCGAGATAAAATCTAATATAGGAGCGCCTGTAACCCCCACCACCCCATCCCCCATCAACAGCTACAGGGAGGGGAGGGAGGGAAGAGAGGGCAGTTCTGTCTACATTGATGACTGTAACCTTACTGTATTTAATGTTACATGAGGTTTATGTATAATTTCTTTCTTTCTTTCTTTCTTTTCTTTTTTCTTTTTCGTAGACCGATTAAAGGATAAGGTAGTGTCTGAGAGTCTGTTGTGTGTGTGTGTGTATTTCTGCTTGCCATGTATACAGTGGGTGGGCGTCAATGTACACACTCAAAGATATGCTGCCCATCCCCCCGACACACACACACACACACACACACACACACACACACACACACACACACACACACACACACACACACACACACACACACACACACACACACACACAGTATTAAATTGCACTTACAACAGACAACCAGCATTTCCTTCCCCATTTTCTCTAATTCCTCGTCCATTCCCTTGCAACACACCTGAAACACACACCTGTCTTACTGCAACACATTTGCCATACTGCAACACACCTGCCATACTGCAACACACCTGACACACACCTATCCTAATGCAACACACCTGCCACACACACCTGTCCCATTGCAACACACCTGCCATACTGCAACACACTGACACACACCTATCCTAATGCAACACACCCTGCCACACACACCTGTCCTATTGCAACACACCTGCCATACTGCAACACCCTGCCAACACACCTGTCCTCTACTGCAACACACCCCACACACACCTGACATACTGCAACACACCTGCCCACACACACCTGTCCTACTGCAACACACCTGTCCTATTGCAACACACCTGCCCTACTGCACACACACACCTGAGAAACACACCTGTCCTATTGAAACACATCTGCCCTACTGCAACACACCTGACACACACACCTGCCATGCTGCAACACATCTGACACACACACACACACACACACACACATTCCTCTAACTGTTAAAATTGGGTATGCATGGTTTGGTTAGTTAGGTTGGGTTACGTTAGGGTTAGGTTAGGTTAGACAGGTTAGGTTAGGTTAGGTTGGGTTA